TACGCGTTTCGAAGCAGTATAAGCTTCATCTTCAGGTCGTCCCTAGTCTCCCTAGTTGTCATGTACAAAAATGATTATAATACTAAGGTTTTAGATTTTATCAACAAAAACAACTTAGAGAGACTCAACAAAGATCCGACAACCAAGTTTACAAAAACCTTAAATACTGCTCTAAATAAAAGTTTAACGCTATTCACCGATACAGAAATCAGGAGACCCATCAACGCCAAAGCACCACAACTCAAAGGTTTACCGAAATTGCATAAAGATAAAATTCCCATTCGCCCTCTAGTAAATTATATGCCAGCACCCAGCTACCAAGTCGCTAAAGGCCTAGAAAGGATAATTAAGCAACAAATTATTTTACCTAACAGTCATAGTCTAATTAATAGTATGGATTTAATTCACAAAACTAGTAACACTGAAATCAAACCTAGATATACACTGGCATCGCTGGACATAGTTAATTTGTACACAAATGTACCCCTGGCATATACAATCAATATCCTAGAAGACAATCTAAAGAGCAATTCTAATCTTAGTGAGGAAGCCATTAATGAACTCATCGCATTAACAAAAATAGTAACCCAACAGAACTACTTCGCCTTTAACAATGAATATTATATACAAAACGATGGACTAGCAATGGGATCCCCACTTTCAGGAATCCTAGCTGAAATATATCTGAACAGTTTCGAAAACAATAACATATGGACAGATAACAACCGCTACAAAGATAAGATTGTATTTTACCACCGATATGTTGATGACATCGCAATCCTGTATGATGGCAACGTAAGACAACTAGAGATATTTACTAAGTATTTGAATAAAATAAACCCTAGCCTACAGTTTACCATAGAATTGGAAAGCAACGACAGGTTAAACTTTCTTGACATAACACTAATTAAAACAGAAAAATCGTTTGAATTTGATATTTACAGAAAACCTACGCTAACCGACACAACCATCCATGAAACTTCACACCATCCTACAACACAAAAAATGGCAGCTTATATTAGTTTCGTTCACCGATTACTCACCGTTCCATTAAGCCAAGATAATTTTAACAAAGAATTAAACACGATAAAATACATTGCCCAAAGAAATGGGTTTAAAACCGCCATGATCGATAAACTTGTCAAAAACCAATTAAAGAAAAAAGCCGATATTAACAGAGTAGGTGGCCAAATTGACAAAATCTTTGTAACATCAGAGTATGGTACAAGGCTGCCGAATATACTGAAACACGAACTAAAAAAGAAGAACATCGGGGTAGCGTTTAGAACTTCGAACAAACTACAACGATTAGGTACTTAATCCTTCGTCCAGTAATAGTCTAGAAACAGGTGAAAAAACTGGAGTTTACAGATTATCCTGTGATGATTGCAATAGTTTTTATATAGGACAAACCGGCCGTGCTTTCAAAACCAGATTCAAAGAACACCTTCCAAAAGCAAAAAATCATTTAAAATCCAATTATGCAGCCCATCTCATTAACGAAAATCATAACTATACAAATTTTGAAACAAATATGACACCCCTACATTTTTGCACAAAAGGAAGCTTCATGAACGCCATAGAAGAGTACGAAATATACAAAGCAACAAAAAGCCATAGTTATGATCTATTAAACGACAAACTAAATTTCCAGTCAAACGCATTGTATGATACTGTAATAGCTAACCAGGAACAGCTGACCGGCAAGGGACAAAGTTCACGGGACCAACGCTCACCGCCGCAGTCATGACTAACCTGTCTAAGTGCGCGCACGCGGTTCGTAGGCCTACAGTAACTATTCTCCGTCCATGTATGTGTAAAAATTATATTTATTTGACGACCTCTCATGAGTGAAATGTGTTCTTGACGACCTGAAGATGAAGCTTATACTGCTTCGAAACGCGTAGTCGTTAGACAGCATTTGGATTACTTTGGCAGATCCAGGTAACATTATACCTTTTATAATTTAAAATTATGTAACATTCCAAAAATAATAGAAGATTAGTTCTGGAATGTAGCTCTAAGGAATTACACTTGAGTTTTGTAATTTGGTATATAAAATTAAGATTAAGGAATTGGGGGGAGGAACAAATATGAAAAAAAAACATCAACATTTAGCAACTTTATGGAATGCAAATTTTGGAGTATTACCTAACTAACGTATATTTTAATTTAATTTGTATTTTTTTATTTCTTAAAACATTAATGGACTGAATGCAGTTCTTTTGATAGTGTTATTAAAGGAACATCATCACAGTCCAGTCCATACGCTATGTTCAGAGTCTACTGTTGCATGTCTTATCCCAGTAGACTTGACCTCGTCTTGGCTTTAGCGTAATTTGTAGGTTTTAGCGAATTTCCCATTTAGGGAATAAGCTATTACCGTAGTACTCATGGTAAGACCTGGACCCGAGACCGATTTCCTTTTTAGTTTTTTGGTCCGTCAACAAAAACATCTGTTTAAATTCATATTATATATACTTTTTACCAATACTTTAAAATTGGATGAAATATAGTGGGGATTAGTGTGTATATATATATAACATGTTTTATCAGTTAGAAAGCTTCCAATCGATTTTACAAGTTGTAATAACACTGAAAGGTAGGAGTTGTATTCCACATGTGTGAAAGCTTCTCTTGTCGATGTCAAGGACTGAAGTCTGTTTGTAGAAGACTCAAATTGTGTCATTCGTCAATACTCGGAGTGACAAATGTGAATAAACCATGAGTTGACTCTACAATACTTCAATCACTGACAGTTGTATTGATCAGTAAACAAACTAGGCCTATTATAGGAATCACATTGCCTATTAGGACTTAGTTACACAAAACTAAATATTGCTTTAACTTCATTTATTGTTCTTTTGATTTGTAAATTAAATTGTGTGATTGTCATTTTTGTTTCTTTACTTGGCGTTTACTAACTGGTCGCTGAAGTTCTAAAGATCATTGATTTTACTAGGAGGCCAAAAAGTCCTTAAGGTCAATGTTTTAAAATTTAAATTGATCAATAAATCAAAGAAAGTTTTTTAGATTGAAATATTAAAGTTATTTAAGTACTTTATACCATTGGTTTCATCCAAAAACTATGAAAAGAAATATAGATTATGTAATCATGTAAATTACCTACATAGCAAAAAACTAAATTTTCACTTATACATCCTAAAATCGCTCGTACCTCTGGTTTCCAAAACTCTAGGAATTTGCGCTATAAAAACAACTCATATGTTTAGATATTAATATTGCGGAATATTCTATACTAGAGGACAGATTTTTTTTATTTAAAGAAAGTGGTGTATACCCAGTATGATACTTTTTGAAACATTCATTTAGGCCTAGTTGGTTTGATTATATTACAATGTCAACACACCACAGATTTGACAGGTAATTAGAATCTACTTTAACAGAATCATAACTCTATTGTAACATGTTAAATATACCCATACAAGGAGCAGAGCATCACATCAGCTTAAGTCGGCAATATGGGTGCAGAGTATGTTCTACTTTAAGGATTATTAGAGCTCTTCCAGAATCCTTCAACTTGAATGTTATTTTAAAGTAAAAATTTTAAATATTAAATCAAGAATTTTGCATCAGTCCTTCTCTGGAATATTGTGTTATATTAAATGCTATTCCTAGTAAAAAAATTTTTCTTCTTCCATTAATATAGGCTGTGTGTACATTTAATTTCTCTGAACTTATTTTAATGGAGATCGCGATTTGTATTATATTTATATTATATATAAATATTACACTTATATTATATTTGTGCCTTATTGCTATTATTTATTAGATAATTCTTTGTTTGTTTTTTACTATTGGTCAATAACTGACACCGGTAGAATTTCATAACATGTTTTATTATATTTAAAATTTGACATTTTTGTTATTTGTATCTAGGAGGTGGTGTAGAACAATTCAAGGGAATATTAGAAAGTGTAGTAATTTGTTTGTAATATTCTAATTAAAATTTAAATTTTTATTCAAACACTACATTTGTTGTGTTATGTTTCACGAGACAACGCACAAACATTTGCATTAGTTCTACCACTTGTCCCGGCAGAGTTTGACCTTTTAGGGTTATCAATATTGCATTAGCCTTAAATTATTGAGGAGCCATATAACTTAAACAGAACTGCCAGTTTGGGAACAAGCTGTAGCTGTAAACTTTAGATGAGTCATCAAACTACAACCTAAATTGTGCGGATATAGTGTTTGGTTACACTGATTATAGAATAGAATCCTTTAAGTACTCTCAGAGATACTGCTATGACGTAAAACTGTAAAACGTCCAATGGTCCGAAAGATCAAGTAAAAAAGAGTTTACTTGAAATTGGTACTAAATACCAGAACAGGTACAGTAGTATGGTAAACCTAAATGGGACTTGAAAGTTGAAAATAAAATGTTCTTGAATAAAACTAATCTGTACATCTTTATTAAAAAACTGGTATAAAAAGATTTAAATATAATTTGATAACCCTAGTATAAATCAGATACATCAATCAATTAGGTATATCAGTTATTTAAGATGGGGACACCACTATGTGCGTATTTTAACCCAAATATGAGTATCGGACGAGTGTAGGATGAGTGACGCCATCTTGTAGTCTTGTTAGTGTCTAAGGCCGACATGTTCCTTCTTTCTGTTTTACATTTTTTTCATCTCTAAAATATATTTTAGCTTATAGTTTATTTGACTACAATCGTTGATATACTTCAATGTTCTCTTGGAGAGGGGTTCAAAATTATTTGAATGGTTTAATTTTTTTCAATAATTTCAAGTTACAAGTAATAAGATTATATCAAAAAACTAGTCTCAGTCCTGACTAATGAAACAGCTTAGTAACAAATCTACATAGATCATCTCGCTCCATTTCTACACTCGTCCTCCACTCATTCATGGGTTTACAATACACACCTAGGTGGTATCCCCACCTCAATAATTAACTATTGCTATTTACCAAGTGTTATTTACCAAGCAGTGTTTGTTCTGTTCCAGGGTGGAGATGTCCTACAAGAGACAATATCTGCCAATGTCAGTGATGACACGGTCTTGCTGGAGTTCCAGAGATCTGACGGAACCTTGGTCACACAACTGGTGGACTTTAGACATGTAAGTTACTGTCAAATGTATTGCTAAGTCCTATTAGTAGCAGTAATAATTCTTCATTTATCAGATCCCTTATTTTGTTAGTTGCAACAAGCTACAGGAAACAGAATGTTTGAAGAAAAAAAAAAACTTTGGCAGACTGGGAACTCTCTGACATGGTCTGATGTTCTGAATGTTGTTTGAACAACTCAACAGTTGCATGACTGATTAACAATTTGTAACTCACGTGATGAGGGACCTGCCTGCCTCACACTGATATTGATCAAAATGTGAAACCCTTCATTGTGCTCACTGTCCGTTTAACTTGTTCTACAAACTGCAGATCAATCTAATGCAGTTTTCTGATGAAGAAGCTATTTAGTTTCATAAACAAAGCTTTTGAAATGTTATTTTGGTAGTATTTTAATTTGGCAAAATTTATACACCATAAGACTAACTCATTTTTATATCGGATTTTGTGAATTATGTAATTTTGTAATTATCGTGTGATTTACAATGAATCGTTACGATGTTTCAGGAGGTGCAGATATTAAAGGCCTTAGTTCTGGGAGAGGAGGAAAGAGGCCAAAGCCAGTATCAGGTCATGTGCTTTGTCAACCACATTGACAAAATGGAGTTTATATCACCTGACGCCATGGCCAAACTAAGACAGGTAACTTATAGTGTGAAATCTAGTAAAGTAAAATGTTATTTATAATTCAAGCCTATGTGGTATGTCTATTGAACCAATATGTTGAAACTGTCCATATAATGTTGCACTTTATTTAAATGACAAAAATATTGATGGAGTAGGCCTATATACACGTATAGAACTTTAACCTTCCATCAGGCGCATCACGGAAGTTACCTCCTGGTCAATAATTTTTTCGTTATAAAAACCATAGTATGTGTATGGCAGGGCTGTGGCCTGATTTACCTCACGAACCTCTTTTGCGGAATCGGTTTTATATTCTCTTACCCCTTTCCCAGTTGTCAGTCGACCTTGGTGGGGGGGAGGGGGTGGTTCGCGTCACTACTGGAAGTAGCTTCCGTTAGCGCCCTGTGTTTGACCTTATTAGGGATACTATAAAATATATGAAAAAGAACTAATTGCGAGATTGTTGGCTAGTGTTCGGAAGACAAGGAACAACATTTAGTAGAAAGAACTAATAATGGTGTGTGAGTTTGGAAACCTTTTTTTTTTCAAGAAAAAGAGCTTTGACAAAATGAGTAGTCCTTCTAATAAATGATTTTTTGCATTAGACAATAGGTGTTTTATTTCAAACACCATTGCATTTTTTTCTACAAAGCTTGGATAAAGTAAGTTATCCTTGAAATAATAATCTTTTTCATAATACCATTAGTGTTTTTATGCCATACACTAATGCAATTTTTGTATAAGAGCTTTAATTTAATGAATTGTCCTTGTACAAAATTATTATTTGTATTAGACCATTTACGTGTTTTTATGCCATAGAGTATTAAAATTTGTTTTCTAATATACGATAGTACTGCATGAGTACAAAAAGTAAATCATTTTTATCCACAACACTTACGTATTTTTATTTTTTACTATACAATTTTCTTTGTAATACCGGTAACTTTAGTAATAGTGTAATAACTCATAATAAATGTGTTTCATAGAGTTTTATCGCTATTAAAATGTTTTTTACTCATCATTGTATAGTTTTTGTACTCCCGGAGGTAACTTCCATGAGCGCCCTTTGGTGTTTGAAAATCAATGCGCCCGACGGAAGGTTAAACAATGGTCAACATTACTATAGAAAAGTTAGCAAGGTTGTATTGGAAATGTCTGGTGTGCAAAATCAGTAGTCTGCTAAAAATAATAACAAATTGTACAAGCGGATTATAAAAATTGTGTCTTGCGATGTTGATGTTGAAGTTGTCGAATTGATGGATTATGTAACTGTAAAAATTCTGCAATTATTTTTCAGATATAATTATAATATGCAATAAATAGAGCTTAATTGTACATATCACCTGATACATTGATCATAAAAGAAATACATATCAAGCTGGTATGTAGTCCTCAAGTGTTAAACCTAAACATTTATTCATAAAAGTATATTAATCTTTTAGTAAGCTTTTTGTCAACGTCTCTAATAGTTTAAATATAAAATTTCCTTTAATAAAGCATTGTCATAGTGATGTTCTTTCTCCAGTTGTTATTTTGTCAAATGTCTCTCCGCAGAAAAACCCTGGCACAGTGCGGACGCCGGAGGAGGACCGGGGCCGGGAGAACATGACTATGGAGCTGTTTGTGGACGTGGCACGTGCCGGAGTCATCTCTAGACACGTGCCGGTGTTGTGTGCCGAGGCCAGCGATGCTACATACACCCGACGTGCCGACATAGACATGTGGAGCCAGCTACCAGGTGAGACTAACAATTCAATTGGTCAACGTAAAAGTAAAAACCGGTTAAAATTGAATTTATGAACTAGTTATTACTTTGACCGCAGTTGAAAAAGATTTCAACAGTTTTGCAAGTGCTTTCAGGCCATATCCTTGTGGTATTTGCTAGCCATTGAAGTATAATAGCTTCTTTGCCAGTGATATACACTGAAGAAATTTTAAAGTAACATTTAACTATAAAGCTAAAGAACAATAACATTTACTTTTTAGACTAGACTTTTAGACAGCATAAATATGTGAATTTTTTTGTTGGTAGGGTTCTTATTTAAACTTTTTTCTGTCACACATACTTTTAGCAAATGTCTTATATAGGGGATAAGCTATTAACCTAGATCTCTTAGTAAGACCTACCCCGGGGCTGATTTACTTGTTTTGTTTTGAGGTACCCATAGCCTAAAAACACTATCAGTTCTAAATTAAACAAGTTATTACTAGTCATTCTATATACATATAATTACATCTGTTAGCTCGATAACTCGAGTAAAGATAATTCAACTTTTATTAAATTTGGTTCAAACGTTTTATGTAATACGGTAGGTTAGTTTAGAATGGGTTTTATCACTTTTAGTCAGTATATGAACATATTAATCTCTAAATTGTAAGTATAGTTCTAATTTTTGAAACAAATAATTACAAATTTTACCGGAACAATTCCATTTACGTTTACATTAGCTTATGCCCTCTTTTTAGATATTTGGAATAATTTAATTTTTTTATGCGTTATATTTCTAAAACAAAATCTTTTTTACAACTTTATTCAAATGTTCTCCAGGTTCCTCTAAAGCGTCGTTGTTGGCAGCAGTGAGAGAATACAACGGTTTGGTGCCTCCACCACAGAGATGTCTAGAGACCCATGCGCCGTGGCAAGCCTGTACTTGTCACCTGGAGCTGTGCATTGGTTGGTACCCCTGCGGCCTCAAGTACTGCAGGGGGGCCAACCCGCGTACAGCCAACTACAGGTGTGGCATCCGCACGTGTCGCAAGTGCAGTCTCTACCTCTACTACGTCCGTCAGAAGCAACTCTGCCTGTGGGATGAATGACCCTCGTAGTAAATGAACACTTCACCGGTGACTGGACGGTTTTGTACTAGTTTCTGTAGACTTTACCTGTAACTGTGAGGTGAGAAAGAATTTATATTTTTTAGTTTGTAATTTTCTACTGATAATCTCTTCCAGGGCCCTGTGAGAGATGTAGTGATTAAGATTTCAACAAGACTTTGAACAAGTTATATTAGCATTAAACATTGAATACACATCTAAAATTGTTGAAAATCTATGATTTCAATTGTTTGTGCTTTGTTTTGTAAATAGTCCTAATAAAGCACAAAAAGTTAAAATCATAGATTTTAAACAGTTTTTGATTTGTATGCAATGTTAAATGCTATTAGAAAGCATTAAAAGCTGTAGTTTTTAAAACTAAAGATTTATGAACTGTTCCAATACGAATTTATGAACAATATTATTTTTGAACAAAATGTTATTCAACGATTACCGAAATGCTCTTTCAAGGTAAATTTTATTTTTGGTCCTAATACACTATTAATATTACTTGCAACTTTGAGTGTTTGTTTTCTTATAAGAAAATGTATAGTTAACAGTTTCTTGCCATATTGTTTAAATATAATTAATATGTTTTAATTTTTATCATTGTTAGTTGTACATTATTAGTTGTAAACTTTGAAATACATATTGTTACATTTACTTTTATAAACTTGTAGCACGTGGAGCGAAAGTAATACCTTGAAGGTAATCTGGTAAAAGGGCTAGCTTTGTGGATCAACAGTCGAGTCAGAGATATTCTCCGGTCTGTTACATAAAACATGTTTCATCCTATCGCATTGATCCTCATAGGTCAGCAGATATTTGATCTCATATTTTCCCAAAGACTCCTGACCCTACCAACCCTCCAAGAAAAACATTAACATCCCTTTGTATATCATCAATTCACCCCTTAGATTTCCAGCAGTGATTTTATTTACTGGAGTTTTCAGCTTTGCATTTGCTACCCAAAGTGAATGTTGTGAGTAACATGTAAAGGAATTGCAATTTTGATATCTCGGTGTAAGCTTTGTGTGGTTTCTTTTTATTGAGGCAACCGTGTTACGTTTGGTCGTAAATTCAATTAGCAATTGCTGGGTATGTTTCGGTGAAACTTTTCAATGTGGACAAATTTATTCTACAATACGTTCGTGTTTGTTTATTTTAATTTCAGATTGAATTTAGGTACATACAAATAATTGCCTATTGCCATTGTAATCTTAGGCTTTACTTTATGAGTTTTTGATATTAAGTATATTATTACTGAATCACATATTGTTTATATATTTTTATGGTAGATTTTATTTTAAAATATCTTTTTGATATTTTAGTTTTAGACAAAAAAAGTAAGTTTACAAACATTTATTTAATCTTTAATTCTCAAAGTCCAAGACGAAGTAACTCTGAAAGTAATTGATGTCTAGAAATGACTGGTGTTTGTTGCCTAGCTATTTTGACATCTAACGCAAACAAATTATTGTTACGAAAAAAAAATTACTGGCATAAATATTTAGTTTTAATTCTTTATCATAATACGTGAAGCAAATAATATATTTATCCTTATTGAATACAGTAGAACCTCAATAACAAGTCTTTAAGTGGGATTATCAAATAAGACCGGTTTGTTGTCAGTTTTGTTGAGGTTTACAATATCATGTAATTAAATATAAAACTGTATAAAATCGCTGGTATTTGAAAATGACACTTGTTATCAAGTGCCACTTGTTATTGAGGGTCTTTTTGTTGAGGTACCACTGTATTAAAATTGCCCTATCCACACAGAGTTTTATATAAATATTTCATATGTGTATTCCGAACTCTATGGGGCCTTAGCTTTATCTAATATAAGTATTTTCTCGTATTGTTGCTATTCCTCATTGTAATGCAGTTATAATGATAATTTAATAAGGCTTAACCTTTTTAAAGTCCTATGTATTGTTTTCAATTTAATTCAACATTATTAATTTTGTTTTTTTAGACTAAGCTTATTTATAAGTTTTATAATACAAATGTATAAAGTAGAGTAAGTTATTGAAACCTATGAATTCTGATATTAACTATGATTTTAACTATCTAGATTTTTATAATAACCTAATTTTCTAATTATTATTTTACTGATAAATGATGCTATTTTCGTAATCGTGCGTGCTAATGTCGAAATTTGGTGCTTCTTGTCCCACCTATCAACCTTATCAGTCTTTTTTATTTAAATATTATACTATTCATGACATTTCCTGTAACGTTTGAGAACTATAATAGAAAAATATTCCTTGCAATAATCTATTATAAATGTGTGTTACAATAAGATACTGCATTGATTATGTTATTTGTTTAGGAGAATTTTATTCAAAAATCCATTTCCGCCTTAATGTAAAGCATATAAATTATTTGATTTATTTTTTTACTGGAAGAATTATATTTATATACATATTCCTATTATGTAAAAAGCAATAAATGTACTTGTTATTTTGATTTGTAAGGATTTCATTTTAAGGAATTATGTTATTTAATGTAATTAGTGCTGAATGTCTTAGTGAAACAAACTATTATAAGGTTTAAACATTTATCTTTTGTGTTGACTTTTGAAATTTCAAATTTTAGTTAAATGGAGATTACATTTTATAATCAAATTGTACATCTTTTAAGACTATCAATATTTTTTGGCTTTGATACTGATGTATGTTTGCCATTTCATGTGCCATGCCAGATAATCTCTAAACTCTGGCCAATAGACCTTTCTGTAATGTTTTTTCATCTATTAAGGCTGTTTATTTTTTCTCTGAAGCCATTTCGTCTGTGCCATAGTTACAGCGTGTCCGCTTGGTTCTTGTATACGCCTTAACCCAACTATGTTAGCTGCCTGTATTTATAGCCTTTTTTGTTAACTCCTACCAATTCCTACATTGTATGTGTCTGTAATGCGACTTTTGCGCTCTAGTTTTGTATGAAACTAATAAACTGAAATTTTATGATAAATGTGTCTTGTATTTGATTTTAACTTCCGTATAGGCTAACCTAAATTTTACAAAGCCATAGCCCTGCCATCTTCTTAAGAAGTAAAAAAAATTAATTAATAAAAAAAATCTTTTTAAGTAGTATTTTAAATAGGTTTCAAAATACAAAAAATATTTTTTTAAATCAATTTTTTTTAACCAACCAAAAACGTAATTAATATTAAAACCCCTATATTTAACAAATAAGTATTATTTCTTTGGAGTTAAATTCATCTTTCATCTTTCCTGTTCACATCGATATCAATTATCAGTATTCTGAAAAGCTGTTCTGCCATGTCTCTTAGTGTATTGGAGACTGTTTTTGACTTTTCTACTTTAATTTAAGCTGTAAAGTATTTTGATGAAACCCATTATATTTTGTTAAACTCAAACTTAAGATCGCAAACAGAAATGGTTTGCTGACAATCATTCTCAGATATTTCCAAACAGTCTCAATGGCATTCATTTACAGCTGACCTCTTATTTTATTATGACACCTGTTATTTTACAAGTCCTAGTCAATAAAGAGTTTCAATAATAGTACTAAAATGTTTGCTGGTTTGATCTTTTAGTTTTTATATGATTACCTTAATCAGTAAAAAAATACCCTTTGCAACCAGACTTCTATTTCAATATGAAATCCTAAAAAATCGTGTCATCAAGATATATATAAGATTAAGATTCTTATAATCCAATTTATCCTTAAAATCGCGGATGAAATAAGTTTACTGAAGAGAAACACTACTCAAGAATATTTGTAATCTGTTCTGACACAATCTAGATATACGTTTCAAAGCAAAGTCGGATAAAAACTTGGATCACAGAACATGTCAGCAACATTCACCGATGAAGTGGAACACTGATATAACTTCAGCTGCTGAACCAACTTGTGGTCTCCTTATCCTTACTTTGATTGGCATTGTCGACAAAAGTTTGTAAAATTCTTTGAGAAAAACCCACTAATCGTAAAAATTTTTTTAGCTATACAATAATACCGCGTTTGAAAATAATCAGTGACCATATTAAGCTTTGGGTTCATCTATGAAGTAAAAAAGATAATCTCTTAGTTGAAAACTAATGAACGGTTATACAAATGAACTGATTTATACACTAAAAATCCGAACAATTGATAAATTCACCTCCCCCCACACAAATTATAAATTCTTGTATGAAAATATGCATTTTAGGCACAACAAGAAACTTAATAATTATATTTGCAATGGTGTCCAAAGCAGTCAACTAACCACGACGTACAATAACCCAGTAGACGCTGGAGATAGCAGCATCAAATATTTATGTACAATCAGACCTCCTGAGCTTGTTATTAGTTGTCAGCTTCTCATACCGAGTAGGACTAATTGGCTTAGGCTAAGAGAGAACTACCTTGTTTCTAATTTCAAACTGAACCCGATCAAAAGTTTGTCAAGAAAAACTCAGTGTATTCATGGAAGAAACGCTGAAATAATAAAAAAATATGCAAACATTAGATTCCTTCGTTAATAAGCCTGAATACAAATGAATGTGTACAAGATGAACGTCGATTCTTTTAAGAGTAAAATTTGAAATCCCATAAAGACGAGACAAGTTAGAAGAGAATGAATTTATATATTCATAATGCTATAATGACAGTGATGCTAGAAATACAGTTTAAGTTATCTCAAAACATTAAAGTGAATTGAGTGAAGTTAGTGGGCTTAGATATTGATGATAGTGTTTTAATTTTAACAGAACGACATTAGCATTTTATCACAATTAAGCAGTAAAATCTACATAAAATGCTACGTGCTGAGTTTACGTTTCTCTTGTCACTTTAGTTACAAGTTTAATGTAATGTTGCTTCCTGACTTGACGGAATTCGCCTTTATATCTGTAGAGCTTCAGTTACATCTAGTTTGGAGATTAATTGTTACAGTTTTAATTGTTTCCCTAATAAACTTGCAATAGAAACTATATTAGGCACTCAATTTAAATCTCTTTTGTAATTTTGCTCACAATGAAGATATACAATATGAATTTAGTTTGGCAAAATACATTTATAGAGGTGATGCATTTACTGCAGGCCTAGAATATAAATAATTAGTAGCCTATTTTAATTTTAAACTCTATACAACAACAACCTGTTACGAAATTGGAAACGCTGACCAGCTGATCGTAGTCGTAATATCTTTAAGCGTTGCCAATTTGTTTTCAATCGCACGCGTATTACTTGGCTAATAAAAGTGTTGTGTTGTGTGCTGTTTTGTGTTGTTTGGTTGGAATACTGCGGCAAAAAAATGAGTGTAGCAGTAAATGTATCAATGCTACACTTAGCATACTGTAATCAGTGCAAGGAAGCCGACTTTGTCAGGTAACTGTAGGAAAAATATTACCCCTGACACAACATCGTGTGTTAAAACCTCTTATAGATCAACTGGAGAAACAAAAATAACAATGGAAATACGAGAACCATATTAGCGCATCGTTGAAGATATTAATAATTTTTAATCGCCATTTTCATGCCGTGTGTATAAAAGAAATAGAATATTACAGTGGCATTAGTAATGAACATTACGATGGTTCAGTCTGTAATTAAAAGAGCAAAGTATTATATTACACCAGATGTAAGGGCCGTATGTTAAACCTTGCTGAAAATGACAAGCTGCGAACTTCCTGAATAAAGTTTGTCACTAAGACTAGATTAAACACTTTTTAATCTCTCCCTACATATATACCTGAATTTTGGAATGTCTTTATCAAGGTCGGGTGAAAACTATTTAAAATATTTTACCTCCTAATATACAAAAGTTTAATGGAATTGGTACTGTATAGTTTTCGTGCATATTTTAAATTATTTTAATTTTTCGAAATTAATAGGGTTTATTTCATGTGTATAACTTAATTGGAATTTAATAATTAATTAGTACTTATTAATTTACCTTCTTTCATAACTCCATACATAATGATGAAAATAATGATACATTTCAACTTTCCCATAACATTTTAATATTTTTAAATGATGCAGTGTCTTTTTGAATGATTATTATAAAATAGCCCCTTTCATTAACTAAAGTAACTGAAATGAGATTGCAATCTATTTATTATTTGCCATTAAAAAAACTGAAATGTTTACAAAAAGGTACCGATGCTGATATAAAAATCAAATTAAAAAATATTCCTTTAAAAGCTTTACTGCCAAAACTAAAATTTCCCCTTAAATATTTGCTTGAGTTTAGTTTTATTCCTCTTTGAAACTGCCACTTACAGCATAAAACTCTACTTGATAAAAACACGAGTTAAACAGTTATAATTTGCTATATTAGTTGAATTTTGCTGTGGATATTCTTAAGCCCTCTTTCATGCCGGCTCATGACAAGTTACTTGCCAATTGTTGGCAGAGCAGTAAATGAAAAGTTACCATTTGCCAACGTCGGGTGGTGAGGCATTGGCTGTTGGCCAAATAAGAGCTTTGGCTGACCTGATACTTTTATTGCGGCTTTCAGCTCTTTTTGATGGAAACTTATAATCGAAAGGAATTTCTGATTTTAAAAAGTTGGTGAAAATATATTCTTCGATGTAATCTAAAATTATGCTAATACCGCAATAATTATTATTATTCCACCGAATATATTTGTTTAGCAGGTATTTACGCTAATTCGTTATACGTAATCCGGAGGCTAATATTAAAAATGAAATTTTAGATCAAATTAAGTAATGTTTGTAGGAATTGTTGATTTAACTGAAACTTTATCCGTGCTTTCAGTCTGTCGGTAAACCACAGTCTAGCTTTATTTCATTCTTTTTCCATGGTAAAACTATCAAGGTGTGCTGAAGTAGGGTTTCTTTTGTCAAGTTCATTGCACAGACAATTTGGTCCTTGTAGGTTTTGTTCCTAAAGTTTTGATATGTAGCTTCTCAATTAGTTGTGTACAATATGTTCATTTTATAGGTTTTTAACCTATTGAATAGTCCTACCTATTGAATAGGTTTAATCTTTTACTCTTTTTACTCTATTTCTATTATTATTGTTGTGTCAAGTACAAAAGGCTGCAACGCATTTGGATATCTGCAATTTTAAACGATGTGATTAAACGATTTTCTAAACCCTCTTATTTATATCGTAATGTTTAGTGAAGCACACTTTAGTATAGAAATGTTGAAATTAGATTAAAAAAATAAATACATCAAAGCGAAAAATAGGTACAATAGGTAGGTAAATAGTACAAGTAACTAGTCAGTCAATAAAACCCATTACAATCAAAGTTAAAGTTAAATACAGATTAAAAATGTATGAACAAATTAACTATTTATGAATGCATGGTTTTTAAAATAACGATAAATTAGTAACTGTGAAAAATTTTAATTTAACATGGATTTACAAGACCTACTTCGCTTATATAGTGGCAAATTATTTCCATCCTGTAAATAATAAAACATCTCATTAAACCTGCACCTAGAATCATCGTTTGTAAAAACGAATTTAACCATGTTTATATTCCATTAACTCTGATGACTTTTTAACATGACACATAAATATGCAAATATGGTAACAATTTGTTGTTGGACATTTTCATATTTAACAATGTAATTGCTTAAATCTCATGTTTTACTAAGTGAAATAATTACCCTAGGTTTGAAACACATAACCGAGGTTTGTTGCTCTTTGAATGGCAAAAAATGTAATTAGCATCCTTTTAATCATAAAAAGTAATTTTTCGCAAAACGTTTGCTCACTGATAGAAAATTAACAAACTACACAAGAGTCTATTGGCTAAATCTTTATATGTTTCTTGCAAAAGATTACAGTAGGTCAGTAACTATAACATATTTTAAAAGAAAAACGATTCCGGTGTTATTTGCTTATCTTGAGATTGCAAATTTTAGCAAATTTAGCGAAAATTTAGTACGAACCCTTTATTTATAACACTAGGTTTATTCATAATACTAACGTTGTTAACACTTCTTGATAAAAGACAGATATGTAAACATTAACATGTTTTT